CTCCGATATCTGGTGTTGATCGGAACATGGCCTCTCAACTCCCTGAAAAATGCACTACGGATTTTCAACCATGTACTTTCTCTCTCTCTCAACCATAAGATTTCTTTCTTCTATTTGCTCATGTAGTTGAAGAAGGATTATTTACATGTCCAATTTAGTTTATAGGTACCCATCACTGCATTGAAGAAGCTACCCAGTAGCACATAGCTTATTAAGGCATAGATCACAGATTGCTATGGATTGTTAAGTTTTTAGGATTAATTGCTCAATCAACCTGTTATTTCATATAGCTCGAATTGCTAGTATCTTGGTAGAACAATATGTTTGTGACCGAGTGGCTACAAAATTACCACGAGATTATGTATCTTGTTTTAGTTTCTTTGTGCTGTTTGCAAGCATGAAAGAGATTAACTATACATGCTTAAAGAGTGGAAGGTCAAGTATAAGTTATGTCAGGAGAGTTAGTGATGCCTCATAGCGAAATGATGCAAATACTTAAGGTGAAGTTGTTAGACTCGATCTATATATGGCTTAATGACCTCAAAAGTACCTTTAACTACTGTTTTTAGGTAACATACTCTTGGCATATACTATCTGTTTCTGGCAGCATCTTGCAGCTCATTTGGCAGAAAGCTTTCTCCATGGTTGAAGTCCAATATGTTGTTTTATCTAACTGTTACATAATATGTGTGTAAATAAGAAACTACTGTCCAATTCATTCATTCCTTATTAATTAACTCTGCAATCTGAATTTCTGGCGCAGGTGATCTAAATTAGAAGCGCAAAAGCGTTTACAGAGAGCTCAGTTGATTTTTAGGCGTAACACTATTGTTGAAGTAATGCTGCTTAGAATAATAAATTGTTGAGATTATGTACTGAAATCCAGTAGGATTATTATCTAATTTTTGTTACTTTCTTTTTTTTTATAAAGAAAAAACTCTTTTGAGTGATGATTGAAATTGCTTAGTAGTTTCCTCTCAACACTGTAATAATTTATGGGATCTCCTTCCAATATATATATATATATATACATATATGTATATATATGGAGTAAAAATTATAAATTTTTGAGTGGTACTTTCACATTAATAACAATACAATGGAATTTCTAATAAAGACACAGGGAAAGACAGTCCAATTTAAATTCATCATTTATGTACTGAAGTAAAAGCTGTTGAGCAATCTTAATCAAATTAATTAAAGACTGAAGCTTAATTAATGATCTCTTACCCTCTTTAGAGACTGGAGACATCAATTTCATGTTTAAGCAATTTACTAATCAAGACAAGCTTATTCAGAAATTGATGGGGAAGTTTATATTGGATTTTTCTATCAAATGATGTAACAGCCACACAGTGGTCCCTCAATTTCATATAATAATTGAGTTAGCTTTAATCCTAGATTTTTCTGATTAAAAGGGTATAAATTTCTAATTTTTTGCTAAGCAAATTCTATATTTGAAAATTTGAGTTTAAGTTAATATGTTTTCTTCAAATATATGTTTAGGATACATAAACTTTATTTAAAAATTTAAATTTATCTAATTATGAAATAATAAAAATTGACCATCTAACTAGATTCGATCAAAATTAGAAAAACGATATTAGCTTTCGAAATAATTAATTATGTTATACTAATAATTAGATGGAATACACAAAGTACGAGATAATGAGAGTAGTAAGATCAACTAGTTTACCCTTAAAAGAGTCAGCATTATTGGGTGACGGTGCAAGAGAAGATAACGCAGGAATGTATGAAGAAGGAGGCTTAAAAGAAGAAGGTTGAGACATCTCAGAAGTTGGAATGACATTGATGTCAACTTTCAGTCCAAGTTGGCAATGACCAGGAACACCACATAAGAAGTAGTGGTGGCCACGGGTGGTGATATTTATCAAATCGTTGCCCGTAGTAAAGGTTGCGAAAGGAGCTGAGATATTACAAGCTCTATACATGGCATGATTCACTCGATTCACATCATGAAGTCTCGAATCGTATTCGAAAATAATAATATCACCAACTTGAAAATTCTTAGTAGCAGCCCACTGTTTATAATCAACATTGCCAGTAATGGTCCATCCAACTGAATCCCCAACCTTATAAATAGTCGCATGGGATAGCTGGAACATTACCATAACCATCACCAGCACCACCACCATAGTTATGAGCTTAGCTATATAGAAGGAGAGAAAAGAAGAAGAAGAATAGAAGAGCTCACGGAGACTCTTTAGTTCTTTTTATTTGTAGATAATCCAATGATGCCAAAAATCAAAATCAGACAAATTAAGTAGCCTATTTTCTACTCAACTCTCTTGATAAAGTAAATTTAAATTTGATCATAACTTAAATTTTTTTAAATTATTAACTTTAATCAAGTACAGATCATCACAATTTTTTTTAGTTTTTTTCTTAGATTGTAGAAATTACGTAATTTATTTAACTAAATAATGAAATCGCTTCTTCCATACCTAGGAAGTGGCCAAATCACTTTATTCACACACTAGATTCTCTTGATAAAATAAATTTAAATTTGATCCTAAATTAAATGATGTTAAATAATTAACTCTAATCGAACACCAATCATCAATTTTTTTTTTTTTTTTGTCTTTTTGTACATTGCGAAAATTACATAACGTATTTAACTAAATAATCAAACTATTTCTTTTGTACACTATAATTCAACTGATTAATATCTAGAAAGTTGGCCAAATCACTTCTTTTGGACATTAAAAATGAAGTTAGTACCTATTTTTTACTTAGTTATATGATTGATGTTTGATTAGAATTAATAATTTAACATCATCTAATCAATAAAGGTCATTCTAGACATTCCTTAGTTATATAATTGATATTTTTTACTTTTCTTTGCAAGAATACATGTATTTAAGTCGAATTGTGTTTCTGTCTCTCTCTTCGTTAAAATGTTTATTATATTATTTTCTCATTAGATAATTAATTATATTACTATTGGTACGTAAGTATCAAATAGTTATTAAAATATATGATTATTAAAAACATACAAATCATATAAAAAATTCTTTTTTTTTTTTGTTATGCTACAAAAATTAGATAATATATTTCACAAAGTGGTAAAACTATTTTACAGTGTATACTTGAATTGAACTCATTACTAATTTTCATTTATTAGTACAATTCCTATTCCTAACATAGAAAAACTGTTTTTCACACAACTCTCTTGATAAAGTAAACTTGAATTTGATCATAAATTAAGTGACGTTAAATGGTTAATTATATAATCAAACACGGATCATCACAAATTTTTTTTCGTCTTTTCTTATATTGTAGAAATTTAGTGACACATTTAATTAAATGATCAAACTACTTTTTCCATATATAAGAAGTAGCCAAATCCCTTCATTTATACACTAAAACTTACGTTAGTGCCAAATCTTCATCTATTAGTAAAATTCCCTAGTAGCATTAGTGGCCAAACCACTTCATTCATTTCGTCACAATTTTTTTTTTTTTTTTACATTTTTTAATTATAAAAATTAAGTAGTATTTTTAATTAAATGATCTTTTCTCTTTATAGGTAACAAAGATAACAAATTTTATGCTTTTCCAACACGGATCATAAATTAAATGATCTTAAATAATTAATTTTGATCAAACACGTATTATTAATTTTTTTAATATTATAGAAATTTTACAGTATTTAACTAAATAATCAAAGTATTTCTTTCATACGTTAGAACTGAACTACTGACTATCAAATGTTCACTTACTAATAAAAATTCTTAATAAAAAGTAGTCTAATAACTTCTTTCATATGCTAAAGTTAAATTTCATACGAAAGTTTGGTCTATTAGTAGAAATCTCTATTAGAAAATAATATTTTTTCGTTAAACTTTTTAAATGAGAAGTTACTTTAAGCCATTTACTTGGTTTAAAATTTGTGCTCCATTGGTTGTTTTTGGTTTTCTACCAACCTTTACTTCTGTGACAGCGATATAGTGTGACGTCCTTACTGGGCTAGTGTAGCTCATTCCATACTTAACCATTTAAGATTAGGAGGGCTTGGTTCCCGAGCCCGATCCACAAGAAGACGGTGAGTAGATGCCTAGATGTCTTTTAGTTTTCTTTATAGTCTTTCATTTCTAGTATTTCCTTTACAGGACTTATTCTTTCATATTGTTAGTACGTTTAAGCTATTGTGTACAGGATATTAACCTAAATCTTTTATTTCGCTTCCGCACTCAGATTATTATATATATTTCCTTTTGAATTTCTGGGGGCCGTTACATCAACAGCCTATTTCCCGTACATCCAGAATGCCAATTTCTTAAAAGGTCCAAGCATGTCTCCGAAGCACAACTTTGGAGCGAGCTCAAATGATTTCTTCAATAGTTCTCTCAATCTCTCTGCTTCTCCATCTTCCTCAGAATAATTTGTGCTCATCACCATTCTGTAATTATGATTGATGTATACATATTAATTATCTATTTAGTGTGTACATATATATATATATTATAATTATATTGAGATTAAGTGATAACCTGCACATAGCATTATTTGATAACTTCATGAGCTCAAGACCCACATCTACAGACTCATTTCGTGCAGCAGATGTTATCATCTTCCTCAAAATCCTACAAATTTCTTCACGTCTAATACAAGCAAATCTATCTACCTGTTTAGCACCAAGCAGTTCTGTCATGTAAAGCTTCTTCATGAACCTCCAGTAATCACCATACGGTGCAATGACGAAGCTCGTAGTCCCGTAGGGCATGTAACGGCCCCGGAAATTAAAAAGAAAATGCATATAAAAATTTTAAGTGCGGAAGTAAAATAAAATATTATGGTCAGCATCCCTTACACCATAGCTAAAACGTACTAAACATATAAAAGAATAGGTTAGCTAAAGGAAATACTAGAAATGAATACTATAAGGAAAACTATCAAATATTTAAGCATCTACTCGCCGTCTTCCTGCGGAATGGACTCGGGAACCAAGTCCTCCTGATCTGAAATGGTTAAGTAAGGAATGAGCTACACTAGCCCAGTAAAGATGTCACACTATATCACTGTCACAGAAGTAAAAATTGGTAGAAAATAAAAACAACCAATAGAGTACAATTTTTAACAAATTCATTTATCAATAATAAAATCTTTTATTGTCCACTTACCTCGGTGATAAAACAACCCTTAGAAAATAATAAGATCATAGATATCATGTAATCATACACACTTTGTAACATAGCACATGTCATACTTTTATAGTTCAATCATCAAATAACAATTTTCCTCTTTTATCAGTCTACCAGAATCCATGGGGATCCATAGGGGTCCCCGCTACACGTGAACCATTCACTTTAACAACTTAATTCCAGGGTCATCCCCATACCCCATTCGGTATGGGTGCCAAAATATTTAAAGTCTGCATACCCCGTCCGGTATGAGACAATATTCCTGATAGGGTTCCCTATAGACCCGGTCTGTCCACCATCTCTCAGGATATCTAGTGAGGCTGTCAACTTATCCATTTATCAATTCACATACCCTTTTCTATTCTTTTCTTAGTTTTCTATTTCTCACATAAACATGAACACTTAAACAAGTAACGTGCATTCAACGAGGCAAACTACATTAAATCCACGAAACCAAGCAGTAGTGAAGTAAACAGTGATTCATGCATCCGAAACCATAGAATAAATAAGCCACATACCGTAACGCATTTAAAACTGTAAAATAAATAAAACAGGAACTGACCGAAAAATATATTAGATTCGGGCTCTATTAGCAACCTTAATTAATTATACATATCTATTAATTGCAAAAATACTATATTTCCATTCAATTGAACTTTAATTCCGCGATAGGAAATAGGGTGAGGGATCCTTACTTGATTCGAAGTCTAAAACCAGTTTTTCACTGCGCTACGGCAGTCCTAGATCCCTAATTTTTTCCCGAGAACTGAAAGGTACTTCGGTACCTATACATGTCCCCAAATAACTCAAAATCAGACCCCAGGGAACGGATATCGGCCGTTCGATCGCGCGCACGCGGATCGCCCATGTGGCTCCCTTCCACGTGGCCTCCCGCGTCAGCGTCTCTGCCACGCAGCATGTCCTGGTTGGCCGGGCTGTTGACGTGGCATAATTTTTCTAAATTATGTTTTGACTCCCGGTTTTCAATTTTCTTTTCAAAATACCCCCAGAACCCAAATTTTCCAAAATTATTTTCAATTAAATTCTAAAAATAATTTTATCCCTTATTATTATTATTATTATTATTATTTTCATTTAATTAATTTAAACTAATTTAAAACCATATATTATTGCATAGTAAATTATTATATTCATATAAAAAAATTAAAATAAAATAATACCAATAATAATAAAAAATTAGGGTGTTACAGGGCAACCGATCAGCAAAAGCAAACACGGGGCGTGCTGCCAAGGCCAAATCATTGGTCTTGAACACTTGAGTGGCGAACGAAGCTGACGAGACGAGGACGCAAGGGTTTATGCCAAGACGGAGATAATGGAGAGGGCCATGGCTGGAGGAGAGGTTTCAGAAAAGTTTGTGGAGAGGTGTGAAGAGGTGGAAGAAGTAGTGGAGGTGACCGATTACTGGAATAGCCAGTGGGCTGGGAGGGAGGTGAAGATGGGAGATGGGAGATGGGTTTGATAGAAATGAAATGGAGGAGTAGGGTTGAGATGAGGCAGAGGAAGAAGATGGTGAAATAAAATTGAACGTCAGTCATGGAGGTCATATTGTCTTTAGCTTAGGTAGTTAGTTGCTTGTAATAATTTGATTGGACTTACTTAAAAAGAAGTTGCGAGTAACAATTTGTGATGTTAGAAAAAATGAGCCGTACTAATAGACAGTTATTTAAAATAAAATCACTTACCCTTTTTCTTACCCTTGAGGAACCTGTGAAAACAACCTATCAAGACAATAACATCATACAGATCACAATTTCATACATAATCTGTAATATAGCACATGTCATACTTTTATATTTCAATCATCAAACAACAGTTGCCCCCTTTTCATCAGCTTACTAGTATCCATGGGGATTCATAGGGGTCCCCGCTACACGTGAACCATTCCCTTTACAAACTTAATTTCCAGGGCCGTCCATATACCCCATCCGGTATGGGCGCCAAATAATAAACCTCAATACCCCGTCTGGTATGAGGGTGAAGCGGGTCGTCCCCATACCCTATCCGATATGAGCACCAAAATATTTAAAGTCTCCACACCTCGTCCGGTATGAGACAACGTTCCCGGTATGGTTCCCTATGGACCCAGTCCGTCCACCATCTCTCAGGATATCTAGTGAGGATGTCATCTTATCCAATTATCAATTCACACCCCTTTCCCATTTTTTCTTTAGTCTCCGTTACCAATTCAAACATGAATACTTAAACAAGTAATGTGCATCCAATAAGGCAAGAATATCTTATATTCACAAAATCAAGCAATAGTGAAGTAAACAGTAATTCATGCATTCAAAACCATAGAATAAATAAACCAGATACCATAATGCATTTAAACTGTAAAATAAATCAACAGGAATCAACAAAGAACAATGTGTTTGATTCAGACTCCATTAGCAACCGTAATTAATTATACATATCTACTCAATTTGTACAAAATACAATTTTACCATTTATTCAAACTTTAATCCCATGATAGGAAATAGGGTGAGGGGTCCTTACCTAATTCGACATCGAAAACTAGATTTTCACTACGCCTACTAGCATTACCTGGATTCCCTGAATTTTTTTTCGGGAACTGAAATGCGCTTACGGTACCTACACATGTCCCAAATAACTCAAAAATCAGACCCAGGGCCTACTCGGCCAATTTCAAAATTCCAGCATGGCGGCTCCGCTGTGCTCCGGCGACGACACCGTCGCTCGCAATGGCGATTCGCCTCGGGTTGGCTGTTTCCGGCCATTTTCGGCTGAATTCAGCCAGACTTGCATTGGTTCCTGTGAGAAAACACCCATAGAGCCCTCGGTGAGCCGAAAAAAATATAGAAAATCGAAACTTACCGGCGGTGGGGCTCTCCGGTGCGGTGGCTCCTCCGGCTCACATCACGATTTGGTGTTCTGCTCTGGTCAACCTGTAGAGGAGGGAACGGTGGTCACAATGGTGAAAAAATTATATCGAACGGGAATCGGGAAGGGCCTCATCGAAGGCAAAAATCAAGACAACTCGCGGCGGCCGCTAGGCTTCAGTGGCATTTTTCGGCCAATTGGCCAGTATTTTTGCTCCGATTTGGCCATAGGTGGGTTTAGAATCGAATTCTGAGCCAATGGGAGAATTTTTACCTCGTTTGGCGACCGAAAGTTGCTCCGGTACGGCGGCGAGTGGTGACGGTCGGCTCCCCAGCGGCTGGGCTGTCTTCTCCGGCGAGGGGCTCTTGCGGCTAGGGTTAGGGTTTGGATGCGGATGAGATTATTTATAACCATCCGCTTTTAATATGAGCCGTCCATCGCGATTCAATCTGGACCGTCCGATCGCGATTAAATAGGAAACAAATTTGAGCCGTTCATCACGATGCAATTTGGGCCGTCCGTGTGCAATTTAATCTGGGCTGTCCGTGCGCGTTTTTTATCTGGGCCGTCTGTGCGTGCGGGAACGGATCTCAGCCGTTCGATCGCACGCACGCGGATCGCCCAAGTGTCTCCCTTCCGCGTGGCCTCCCGCGTCAACGTTTCTGCCACGCGGCGTGTCCTGGTTGGCCGGGCCTGCTGACCGGGCAGCTGGCGGAGCGCAATTTTTTTAAATTATATTTTGACCCCCCGTTTTCAATTTTTTTTTTCAAAAATACTTCAAGAACCCAAATTTTCATTTTTTTTTCCCAAAATTATTTTCAATTAAATCCCTAAATAATTTTTTACTCTTTTTTATTATTATTATTTCTATTAAAATAAATTAAACTAAATTAAATTCAATATATTATTACATAATTAATCATTACATTCATATAATAATTACAAAATAAAAAAAATAAAAGTAAATTAAAAATTAAAAAAAAGGAAAAGAGTTGGGGTGTTACAGTTGAACTGACGATGGAAGTCGATGAGCTGCTGGAGAAGATACTGAAAGAACATGAAGAAATAAGGAAGAAGAAAAATAGTGTCGAACACAAGAGATTTGATGGATATTCTTTTGGACTTCTATGAGGATAATGACAAATCTGAGTTTAGAATTACAAGAACCCAGATCAAGGCCTTCATTGCAGTAAATATAAATATAAATATACATATATACGTATATCTGCAAAATTAATTATTACCCATTTCATTCATGAGTATCATAAATCTTATATTTAATCAAATTGCATACAAAATTAATCATTACCCATTTCATTTATGATGGTCATAAATGGTACTGATGAATCAAATTGTATGTGTATTATATGGATATATATATGCATATATGATACACATATATGAAAAATTAATCATTACCCATTTCATTTATCATGATCATAAATGGTCCTTAATGAATCAAATTGTATTTCTGCATTACAGTATATATGGATGTATATATATGGATACACATACCCAAAATTAATCAAATTTTGTTCGTGCATTACAAAATTTATATAAATATATATACACACTTATATGCAAAATTAGTCATTACCCATTTCATTTATGATGATCATAAATGCTATAAATGAATCATGCCTTAAAAAAATGTTATTAATGAATCAAATTTTTATTTGTGCATTGTAGGATCTTTTCATGGCAGGCACATCTACTTCAGCAGAAACAATGCAGTGGACAATGGCAGAGTTGATAAACCATCCTGACTTGTTGAAGAAGGTGAGAGATGAGATTGATTCAGTGATTACAACTAATTATCGGTGGTTGGTGGAAGAATCAGATATCTGCAAACTTCCATATTTACAGGCAGCGGTGAAGAATCACTCAGATTGCACCCATCAGCTCCACTGATAACAAGAGAATGCCGCACCAAAAGTTGTAGAATCAAAGAGTTTGATATACCTGAGAAAACTACAGTAGCTTTAAATTTGTACGCCATAATGAGAGATCGTGATGAATGGGACAGACCAGATGAGTTCTTGCCAGAAAGGTTCTTGGATTTTTCAATTAAAAAAAAAAAAAAACAATTACATAAACCAATATGATCAAAGTATTGGAAGTGATGATTATAATAAGGGATCAAAAGTTCTCGATTTCGTCCCACTTGGTGGCGGTAGACGTGTGTGTCCGGGATCGGCATTAGCGCTTTCCATGATTAATATTGCAGTAGCAAGTTTGGTTCAGTGTTTTGGTTGGCATCAAGTTGGTGAAGTTAAGATGGAAGAAGGGTCAGGGATGAAACTAGCCATGGTTCATCCACTGGTGTGCATTCCTGTTCTTCATTTCAATCCTTTTTTAGTCTTGAAAATGAAAGAGACAAAATGTGATCTCATGGGATTTTAGAATCTAAACAGTCTTTAAATTAAATCCTATTTTAAGTCTGTTTGTAAAAATTTTCTCTACTATTGTATGGTCAATGTGTCAATAGTCAATAAACTTATCAAATAAACTCTTACTACAGTTCTTCAATGTAAAACTAAAAAGAGATTATGGCCTATCTTAAAGAAAAGTTAATTACAGTTCTAGTCGATTAATTTTGATCTCATTGCAATTTTATTTTCTAACTTAATCCTTATTATATTCTCTAAATCGTGAGTTTGAATTGGAGTATACTCTTATTTATGTGTTTATATAGAAATTATGTGTGATATTATGACTAATGTTTGTATATTACTTGGGAATGAGAATTTTAACTCAAAAAATAATAATAATTGCTATTCTATTCAAGTGGGTTTGTATTATATTGGTTTTTTTTAACTCAGGCCATGACCCAACCCATCAAAATTTAAAACAAACCCAAAACTTCAAACCCATAGAAATTAGCTCACCCGGTCCGGTCCGGTCCGGCCCAAGCCCAGTCACTACTCAAGAAAACGACGTCGTTTGGGAGACCCGTCTTCTTCTTCTTCTTCTTCTTCTTCTTCCTCCTCCGTCCAGAGACAGAGAGGGGCTACGTTTTGAAAAGGAAAAAAAAAAAAAAGGAGGAACGAAAAACAGAGGAGCAGGTGAACTGGGCAGGTGAATGCATGAAGCGTGGACGAAACATGATGAAGGAATGAATTATGTAACAAAGATGGAGCCATAAATCTAGTGATTTTCAAGCAGGAAAGGAGAAATAGAAGGGGGAAAAAAAAGAGAAGAAATCAGAGGAGACACGTCTGAGCTAGAGGGAAACAGTGAGGAGAGGCGCAGGAAGAGTTCTTGCGCAATGGTGCTGAGAGAGTAGGACAAGCATCGTGAAGAAAGGAGAAGCGTCGATCCACAAAGGATTTGGTGGATGAGCTCGCTAATAAAACCTACTCAATACTGCAAGTACCTAAATTCAAACACTTCAACCAGCGTCCCAAAGATCAAATCGGCAATCCGAAACACTAAGCTGCAAAATATCAATGATTCTGATTCATGCTTGTAAAGAACAGATTAATAGCATAGTTGTAAAATCTGAAGCTCACCTGGAAATTTCAACGAACATCTTTTGAGCGTGCAAGTAATCCTTAAACCAACTCGACCACCATTATACCATCAAAGCATGAAGCTTCTGTGGGAGACGAATATACCTATCGGAGCTCAAATAAACAGAGGCTTGTCGGGGTGGTGCAAACGGAGGCGAGCGGATTTTCAGCCTTGCCGCTCCTTTCTGTTGGATGATAAAAATTTAAATTTTCATTTATTTGATTCACTTCCAAATTAACAATTTAAATTAATTTTAAATAAATTTATATTAAATTTAAATTTTTAAAAAATAATTTATTATTATTTAAAAAATAAATATGAATCAAATTTCTTAAAAAAAATTATCACCAATCACATAACATTTAAAAAATAAATATAAACTAAATTTAATTAAAAATAAAATCTTATTTAAATTCAAACAAATAAATAAAATAAATTATAATTTTAACATTAATCTTCAACACTCTCTTAATGTCGAAATTATAATCACTAAATTTATTTTACGAGAATACTTATCTCTAATATTTTTTATTTAATCTTTATATTTTAAAACATTTTTTCTTCAATTGTTGATACACTTCTCATCAACCTCCAATTTTTAATATACTTCTTATCAATTTTTAATTATTTGATACATTTTTCATCAAAATTTCTTAAAATACTTCTCTCCAAATCCTATCATTTTTAATCATACCCCACAAATTAAAAGATTATAAATATTTGCATTTTTACAGTCTATAATTGATAATTTTCTCTTGCAAAAATGAGATGTGAAGCCAAATAAAAAGTGTCTGAGGTCATATTTTAATTATGAAATTTTCTTGTTTTCTCTCAGTATTCGTTTTTTTTTTACATACTCATGATTAAGAAAAAATCTAATACCACTTGTTGTAACGGCCCCAGAAATATTAAAATGAAATGAGTATTTAAATATATCAAATGCGGAAGCGAGATCAAAATTTCAGTTAACATCCCTTACACGAAAAACCAAAAACGTACTTAAAATATAAAAGACTAAACTAACTAAGAGAGAAACTCGAAAATAAAACTATGAGTATGACTACAGAGTCTCTAGGCATCCCCTTCGTCGTCCTCCTACGGAACGGGCTCGGGAACCGTGTCTTCCTGATCTGAAATGGTTAAATAAGAAGTGAGCTACACTAGCCCAGTAAGAACATCACGATATCTCACCGTCACGGAGGTAAAGGTGGGTAGAAAAACACAAAAGACCAATGGAGCATAATTTACAACAAATCCTTTTATTTATGATAAAACCTTTACCATCCACTTACCTCGGTGGAATTTATGAAAACAATATAAGAAAAAAACAATAACATTATCATAATCATGGAATAATATAAGCTGTAAAACATAACACTTATCACGCCTCTTGTAATTCAATCATTGTACAACATATCTTTTTCTCATTTACCAGCCTACTAGTATCCGTGGGGGTCCATAGGGGTTCCGCTACCCGTTAACCTTTAACATTCATAATCAGTTTCCAGGGCCGTCCCCATACCCCGTCCGGTATGGGCACCAAAACCATGAACCTCAATACCCCGTCCGGTATGAGGGTGAAACGGGTCGTCCCCATACCCCGTCCGGTATGGGCGCCAAAACCATAAACCTCAATACCCCGTCCGGTATGATGGTGAAACGGGCCGTCCCCATACCCTGTCCGGTATGGGCGCCAAAACCATAAGATCTCCATACCCTGTCCGGTATGTGAGACCACAATCCCGGTAGGGTTCTCTACGGACCCGGTCCGTCCACCATCTCCCAGGATATCTAGTCAGGCTGACCCCCATAATACAATTATCAGTCTACACAATCTTTCATTTTCCTTTTCCTCAGTCAGCATCATCAATTCACTTTTTAACAAACAAATCGTAATTCATGCCAAACAGACAACATACAGTATCAGTTTTTCAGTCATTCAACCCATAATTAATAAAAACGTAGTATATGCACACAAATCTGTAAAATGAACACATCAAACCCCATTTTGCATTTAAAGCTGTAAACAGGCCAAATAACAGTAAATCACCAATCACACTAGACTCGGGCTCCATTAGCCACCTTAAGCAATTTCACACATTCGTTAATTTAAGAAATACCGTTTTATCATTTTGAACTTTAATACCGTGATAGGAAATAGGGTGAGGGGTCCTTACTTGTTTTCGGGATCCGAATACGATTCACAGTGCGCCTGCAGGCCGTCCCTAATTTTCCCCTGAATTTTTCCCGGGGAACTGAAACACACTAACAGTACCTGCACGTGTTCCAAAAAAAACCCAAATTAGGCCCAGGGCCTCTTTCGGCCCAAATCGCAACTCCGGCACGGCGGCTCCGCCGTGCTCCGGCGACGGTCGCCGCGGGTTGGCTGTTTTCGGTCGTTTTCGGCCGAATTCGGCCACACTCGCATTGGTCCTTGTCAGAAAACAACCCTAGGGCCCTCGGGGGGCCAAAAAATCACGGAAAAACGGAGCTTACCGGCGGTGGCGCTCTCGGGTGCGGCGGCTCTCCGGCGAGGTTCGTGTTTTGGTGATTCGGCTCCGGTCAACCTGTAGAGAAAAGAATGGTGATCACGGTGATATAAAAATTGCATCGAACGGAGGCCGGGAAGGGCCTCGTCGGAGGCAAAAATCGAGAGGGGGCGCGGCGGCGCCGCTGGGCTTCGGCCGCGTATTCCGGCCGTTTGGCCGGGATTTCGGCCTCGATTTGGCCATAGGAGGAATCAGCGTGGAAA